CATATGAACAAGTAATGCTAATGTTTCAATCTTTAGACCAATATCCCAGACCAAAGAGTTAAAATGCAAGTAAAAACCGCAATCGGCTGCTATAAAAACAAGATTGAGGCAAATGTGCGATGATGACTCTGATCATATTCATAACACTAGTTATCCGTTTAAAGGATTTGGGCCCGGGCAGCTTGATGAAATGAGATTGTCTTTATTAGAATCAGGGGCAAATCCTGGTACCGGCGGTAACGTTAATCAGACAACAAATTCTGACCAGCTTAAAGATAATAGTAATATTGTTGAAATAGAGAATATCAGGAAAGAGGTTGATCAATTAAGACAAGAACTTCTTGAATTGAGGAATTTTTTACCACGTTATTTATCGATTGACAAATAGAATTATCTTTATTACGTATTTTATGTTAATTGGATGTAATTGGATGTAATTGCTTTTTTTATCATTATAATAAAATATATATTATATATCTGATATTATAAAATCGAGTTAACTTTATACCTGAATTTCTTTCGGGTTTTTAATAGTCATTTTAACAGTCATTTGATCATTTCACAATACTTGATTTATTTATATCGATAAAGTCTAACTAAAATTGACAAAATTCTATAAATTCATAGAACTTAAAATAAAATTAAATATTTATGAATTTTAATTGGATGGATAAGATATTGTGAGAATATCTCAACGTATCTATTAATCGGACCTTTCTAAAATGCCCTTAAATGTGTAATGTCTCTTTAAATATATATTAGATCCCCCATGAATGAAACTTTTTCTCATTGTTCCATAGATGCAAGTTGATGAAGAGAGTATAATTAATTTGGAGCATTTTTACACGGAATGGTGCAATAAAACTTTCTTAGAAAAATCTTTTAAGAAAAATCTTTTTTCCTAAATGATTTACAATCGTGTTAAACAGATTCATAAGATTCATAAGCAAATGAAAATGTAAGCAGGATCTTCTATACTGACTTCATTGGTTACACTGACAAATTTAAAATCGATATTTCATTGCTAACCTTGAATATCGATATGGGCTAACGCCAGATACAGATTAGGAAAATTTAATCTATTATTGATTATCTATATATATATTATTAAAAAGTTTTCGTTTTAATATTGTGTAATAAATGATGCTTACTTTTTTAAAAAAAAATCTTTTCATATGAGACAATTTGGCTATTTGTGTATTTCGGCTGAACGGAATTTTATTTGTTTTTTCCTACTCTTGGTATACAAGAAATAAATATTATGTCAGATAGTATTGTAGTTGCATGAATTCTTATGTCAAAAAACTCTTGCAGTTACAATTGTTATAAAGATAAAATGATATAAAATTTTTATTCATGTATTTTTTTTTTTATTCTAAAAATAAATAAAAAATTAAAGATAAATTTTTTTTCTATTTTTAATGAGCTCTTAGAGTTATTGTTTATATAATCAAAAGTCTTTTTTCAATAAGTCTTTTTTCATAAAACTATAAAGAATTTGATTGTCAATTTGATTTTCAATTACGCGTCTACCATAATTGATTTTAACACTGACACGTACGTACTTATGTACGTACGTGCGTCGTCATAATATTTTTAGTAAACGGGAATGATATACCATAGTGCCAAGCATTAATGGTAATGTTATCCCAATACGTACATTGATTTTTCTCATCATAGTTAAGGCTTTTTTTTTTTTTTTTTTTTTAAAAGAAAAAATTATATTATCTACGTACCATTACTGAATTCCGGGTTTTACGTGGTAGCCATTATTACTATTTATAGCTCCAATAAAAATTCTGATTATTTAAATTGAAAAAAAAAAAAATATATAAATATGTCTGAACTTTTCATACGATTTCTACCTATTGTTGTTTTTCAACAAGTCAAATCATAATGGATAGTTATTACAAATTCGTTACTAAAATGATGCTGTGCATCTTAATAACTTGTTTCTTTATACCTTTATCAACATATGCTGCCGATTATAACGTAACAGTTGGTCCAGGGACTGTTTTCATTCCTCAAAACCTCACTGTTCAACAAGGTGATAAAGTATGTTATTCATTTATTAATTTATCGTGTTTATTCTTCATGTTCATGTTTACATCAAATATTGAATACCGAATTGAACGAAAATTATTCATTAATAACAGGTAACTTGGAATTGGGCTGGTGGTATGCACGATGTTGCCCAAACTGATGGTCCTGCCGGATCTTGCATAAAATCCGCTGATCCTAACGCCTGTATGTATCAATAGATATACTCAATAGATATACACGTTTGTTTTTTTTCGTTTCTCAAACATAATTTTTTTTTTCTTGTTAAATTAGTCGCATCATTAGTGAATCCACCAACAAACAGTTTTTCGATCACGATTAACAAAACATCTGGTGCATATTTCTACATGTGTACTGTAGCCACTCACTGTCAACCTGGTGGTATGTGGGGTGTTATTACGATCGGTGGTACACCTTCATCTTCAGCTCAGCCTGGTGGTGCAACTGGTGCTGGTGCTCCATCCAGTACTACTTCTCCAAAATCTTTGGGTACTAAGAGTGTTACTAGTAATTTTGCAGTGATTTTTATTGCTGTTTTTACTTGCATTTTAACTCTTTGGTCTGGGATATTGGTCTAAAGATTGAAACATTAGCATTACTTGTTCATATG